GGGGGGGGGGTCACAGACAGTTGTGAGCCACCCAATGTGGGTGCTGGGAAGTGAACCCAGCCTTCTGTAAGAGCAGCAGATGGTCTCAATCATGGAAGCATCTCTCCATTCCCACCCAGATGTGCCACCTGCCACACCCTCAGAGACCTGCACACGCTTGCACATCTCATTCCTGCACACCTTCACACAGCCTTGAACCCTTTCACCTCCACACCTCCACACACTCCACATCCGCATACCTCTACATATTCCCATAGACTATGTAGACACCTGCAAACACTCACACACCCCTGAACACATCGTATCTACACACTCCTGGGCACCCTTGCACACTCCGGCACAACCTCTACCCCACATGCTCCCACACCCCTGCAGAGCAAGGGAGGAAACAGAGTTCTAGACCTGCAGCTAATGGCTACAGGAAGTCTAAGAAGCAAGTGGAGAACCAGGTCCGTAGTGAGGAACCCTGCCTGCCTCTTTACTTCATGCAGGAATTGGAAGGTGCATCTCCCAGGCTGCAGACATCCTGCAGAGCAGGCTCAAATATGTCCTCAATGCCTGCCTTTCTTTTTGTCTACACAGACGTGTTTGTATCAGGTCATAGTAAATGCTCTTCCTGGGTAGTCATGGTCAACAGTGGTGGGAAACTGAGGTCGGTGTCCTGGAGCTACACAACCCCAGCTCCCCTGATCTAGCTGAGTCTCCTTTCCATACAATGCCTCACTAAGCTGCAGCATGACACTGAATGACAAGTCCCCACAGATGACTGTCCATCCTCTCAGGGACCTGCAGACCCAAGCTAATGCTCTTAAAGAGAGGCTCTTTTAAACAGAGACATACCAAATTCCTTAGCTTGTGGGAACACTGAGAACTCTCTGCCTCTTACTATTGGCCACTGGAATACAGTAGTTTTCCCTGGCCATATATGGAGACAGAGTGGCCAGACTGACTCTGCTCCATGGCTTCCTTACCACACTGATCTTATTGACATGATGGATGAGGGAGGTGGTCCTCATCCCTTCTCTGATCACTCAGTCACATGGGCATTTTGTGTGTCCCTTCCTGATGCACTCAGAGACCCTGATCACGGACATCACATGTTTCCCACATATCACCTCCTAGTGGGTCAGCAGGATACATTCACAGGCATCTCCTCACACCTTGGTGCCGGAGAGACTTCAATTGGCCACCAGGATGGCCCTGGGTGTGCAGAAAAGTGTTCTGTGTGGGACTGGAGTAGTAACTGGATTCTTGACTGGAAAACAGTTTCATCAAGCAAAGATGGGAAATTCCAACAACCTGGTAGATCACCCCCTTCCTGTTTTGACCTCCACTACCAAAAATGGGGGAGATCTTTTTTCTCTCTGAGTCAAAAGCCCTGTGTAAAAATGCTGATTGGCTGCTCAGACCACCTGACTGCCTGGAAGCTCACCACCTGGACAAGGCTGTTGAGTTCTTAAAGCTTCTTGGTCATGTGGCCAGGATGTCACTCACTGGGGTAAATAGTGCAACCATGATTTTTGTGGTTAAGCATTTCCAAAGCTAGCAGGCAGAGCTGTGGAGGCTGGGATTAGTTCTTAACTTGGCTGGCTTGAGTGTTTAAGATGTGTAACACACACACACATGTGTGTTTGCAGGGACATTACCTGTGAGGGCTGGCATGTGGGACACTAACCGGAAGGAGAAGACCCATCCTGATTGTAAATGGCACCATCCTAAGGGCTGGGGGCCCATGGAGAGATTAGGGAAGAAAGAACACCCAAGTGTTCAAGTCACTTCCTTTTCTGAGGGATTCACCCATTGTTGTAGCAATAGTCCACAGGCACCGTGCCAACTCCTTCTGCTTTTATTTCAATGTGGACTCGGTGATCGGGAGTTTCTAGGTCTCAGCCACAGACTGGACCTGCTTAGGTACCAGCCTCTAGACTGAGCATGCAGGTCACCACTGTTGGAAGACTTGGCCCTTATCATGCTAACCAATGCAATAGGATTGAAATAGTTCATCAGGTAAAGGCACTTGCTACCAAGCCCAAGGCCCTGGGCTTGGTCTTCTGAACCTACGTGGTAGAAGGAAGGCACTTACTCCCACAAGTTGTCCTCTGACCCTTGAGCATGCACACACAAGACAGTAAAATATTTGAAGAGCTCTAACAGGTCCAAGCATGGCAAACATGACGTCAGCAGGTCCTGCCTTCCCCCTTCCCTTGCTAAACCATTAGATTATATCCCTGAAGCTTAGCTGGCCATTTTCTTATGCCCAACTCATTCCTGAGGCTGATTATCAAAGTCCAACTATCAAAACATCAAGGTCCAGCAATCAAAAATCCCCCTTGGCTACCCTAATTGTCATGCCCAATCAGGATTTACCAACCTATTTTACTTCATTCTAACACAAACCTTCTCCCTTTTCTCTTAAAACTACATCCTCAGAGCTATCTGCTGCTGTTTCTGCCCAATTTCGATTCAGCCAACTCATCTCTTTGCCTTGCTTAATAAAGAATCTCCTTAGAAACTGGTGTTTGGCTGTGGTCTGTGCCTAATCCAGGGTCCAGAGGGGATCACCCTGAGGTGTGTGGGTCCCTCTGATATTAATCACAATTAAAATACTGTATAAAATATTTATAGTAACATAAATAATAAATTAAGCATATCTACTATGCCTGTCTGTTCCTCTAGAGAATCTGACTAGTACGAGAATCAACTGTGAATGGTTAATTGGCTGGGAAAACTGAGACGAGTGGTGTATGTATTACAGGAATGAGAGCTATGGAAAGTATCTGTCCACACCTTGTTCACAGGTGTGTATTTGAGAAAATGATGCAATTATTGTGGGTCAGACTGGCAGAACCCTCCTTCTCACACCTTCTTCAAACAGTGCAGATGGAGGGACCAGGCTACACAATTCTGACCAGCAAAACATAAGCTCACATTGACAGCCATACAGTTTCCTGATGAGTATGCTGCCTCTTCCCTACTTCTTTCTTTCTTAGTATTCTCTCTCTCTCTCT